GCAGTTATATTTTCTTTAGATTTAAACATCAAGCAGTTACATGCTTTAAAATAAGAAAAATTATAAGAAAAATAAAGCTTGAAATGAGCATATAAATGGGCAGTTTGCGGAACTTCTGTTGCTTCTGATGTCTATTCTATACACACGTATTCGATACAGTAGATTACTTGAAACACTCACATCATTTTTCGTTAGGGAAAATTTTAATCAATAGGTGTTGCGAATTGATACAATTATACTTATCAATTTGCAACACCAATTTGTTTGGTATTGAATCTAAAACACACTTATTACGCCAAATGAGAGGAGTTATTTGGCGCATATGGTTAGTACGTTTGGTCTGTGATCATAGAACTTTCGAAATAGCTGGTCTAAGTGTCCCCGCACACGGGCCACACGCCACAGCCACAAACGCCGCCACGAGAAGCTAGAAGCGGCTACTAAAGTGACTGAAGCGCGCGACAGCGGCCGACTAAGGTATGGGAGAGAGGGGTGGGGAATCGCGCGAGTGACGTGGCGGCGTTTTGTATCGGCGCATTAAGTGGCCGGTGCGGGCCACAAGAACCGAGCAACAACGATTTGTAGCGTGTGGCAGCCACCGGCGTACCTGTGTGGCGAGTCCATATAAAATGTATGAAAACTACACTAAATATGCCGGTGGCGGCGTTTTGTGGTTGTGGTCGGTGGTCCGTGTGCGGTGACACTTAGGATAGTTGACCAAAATATTATAATGGTGCGGAAATAAGAGTGATATTTGCAGCATAAGCGTGTACATTTTCTTTATGTGTATAAAACAAAATTCTTAATAATCCCCTTTAAGTCGATACTGTCTTGTATACCTACTTATGAGCACTCGTAGTCAATTATTACAATTCAATGAGTGTAAATATTACTTTATTTTTTTCCACTGTTATTCCAAGCTTTTGGTTAATTATTACACATTGTTTATTTTGTGTGTAACCGTTTGTGATTATATGATTTTGAATTCATATTGTTTTGTTTGTTTATTACGTCAATGTGTTTTATTTTTATACTAGCTGTAACTCGCGGTGTTAGCCGCGGTTTATTAGGGATATTTTCCCGCAGTAAAACGTAGCCTATGTGTTAATCCAGGGTGTCAACTAACACCATACGAAATTTTATTAAAATCGTTCCAGTCGTTTTGACGGGAAGAAGTAACAAACACACACACTCACAAACTTTCGCCTTTATAATATTAGTGTGATGTGATAATAGTATCATAGTATTTGGCATCCACATGTCTGAAAAAGGACCCAGTTGAAAAACAGTGTCAGTGAAAACTGACACCTGCTTTACTGGGCCCTTTTCGGCTCAGCTGTGGATACAGATGTTAGAAATATTTACTGCTCGTTTCCCGTAGATGATAGCGTGATAATATGTAGCCTATATGTTGACCCGACTTCTTAATAATATTCGTGCCAAATTTGAAGTAAATCCATGCAATACTTTTTGAGTTTATCCCGGACATACATACAGACAAACAGACAGCAATTCTAAAAACTATATATTTGGCTTCGGTATCGACTGCAGATCACACCCCAAGTATTCTTTTAAAAAAATATTCAATGTGCAGTTTTGACTTTCCTACCATTTTATTATATGTATAGATATGTATGTACAAGTGTATATGGCATTAGTTTGTATCTATGCTGTGTCGAATAAGTATTTTGATAATGTTTATGAAAATGTTTAAAGTTCTCATAATTGTAGTATATTATGTAGCCAATGTTGCACAAATATACATAGCAACGGCTAAATAATATAATAATACCTACTTAGAAACATACTTAAAACATTTACGCTCATTAAATTATAATAGTCATGTTTTTAGTATTAAATCTTATTTGGCCTCACGTGGTTTCACTAGCGGTAGTTATTCGTGAGCAAATGTGACAATGGCAATCGTTTGTACGTGCTCGTGCGAAATAAAACAAATCGTAATACGTATTATAACAAAAGTACTTAGTTAATGGACAAAAAATTGTTCCTGCTTTTGAATTAACGTTTTTTTTTAAATATGTATGTAGAGTCTGTGCGGAAAGAGAATTGGATTTAGATTGGAGGGCGCTGTAGTGCGTATTTGTAAGGTTTTACCCCTTTTATGTCTAATTAAAATCATGTCTGATTAAGTTTACTAGAAAAAAATCCACGCGGACCAGGCAGCGGACGGGACTCGAACCCGCATCCTTCGCTATCCGGGCGAATGCACTGACTTTTATGCTACCACGGCCCTATTAGCCGCGTCGAAATTTTCCTAGCCTTAAGCTGCAAGGCAGCGCCATCTCTTCGCATTGTAGGTAACCCACAATGGCAAATGAATACTTTTTCAAGTATTAAACATTTGAAAGAAGAAATAGCAATTATAGTTATGATTTTATTTATTTTTTAAGCATTTAACTGCTAGATGTTTAAATCTAAGGAAAAGTTTACTAGAAAAAAAAAATGGATGTACACTATGTGTTTATTTTAATTTGCATGCCTTGTAGTGAAATATATATAATTTAACATCTTTGTATCACCTGTATTTGCAAATAAATAATTGATTAATTGATTTCTTTTTTAATTTTATTGCGGTACCCGCGTCGGTGAGTTCGGACACCCGCATGGTGCCCTTGAGCTTACGGCATATTTCGCGACGAAGGCAAGAGACCTGACGGTATGACGCTCATTCCCTGGAAGCAGGGTCGTCCTCTTGTATGGGAAGCAACTTGCGTGGATACGCTAGCTCCGTGCCACACAGGTAGTAGTACCTCCCTAGCTGCAGGAGCGGCGGCGGCCTCTGCCGAGTGCTCTAAGCGGCGCAAATATTCAGATCTCAATGAGAACTACATATTTGTGCCGTTTGGTGTTGAGACTATGGGCCTATGGGGTCCAAGCGCTCGTTCCTTTTTTAAGGAACTGTCAAAGAGGCTCTCTGAGGCGACCGGTGATCAAAAGGCTGGCAGCTATCTAGATCAACGGATCAGCATTGCCATCCAACGTAGCAATGCTGCCAGCCTATTGGGCACCATTCCTGACGGCGGCGCTGGCATATTTTTTATTTTGTAATAATTAAGTAGGTTAAGGTGTTTAAGTATTTGTTGTTTAAATGTAAATATGTGAAAATATACAATGTAATCAGTGTATTTTACGAATTTTAAAAGAATAATTTAGGTACTTGATACTTTTTATTCGACCAGGGGGCCATTCGCCTAACGGAAATGCTTTGGAAAACGCTAACGCATTCGCTTTTATTTTGTTATTTCTGACCGCCGAAGGTTTCAAATACCTCACGCTCATTTTTTTAAATATTGTTATTACCAATGCAATAGAAAAAGAAAGAGTGCGAGGCATTTGAAAACATCAGGCGGCTAGAAATAACAAAATGAAATCGTAAGCGTTAGCGTTTTCAATAGCATTTGCGTTAGGCGAATGGCCCCCTGCTGTTGAATTGTAGTATGTAATGTCAAGGCTATGGAATCCAATGTTTACGTAGGTAGGTTCATCATAGAGCCAGTCTGTCGATTATTCGTATTAAACTTGACTATCCGCATAAACGTCGCGAGTCCATTAAATAGCACTTAGGCGTCATTACAATTGAATTACGCGCTGGTTTTGAACACTGGTTGAGTTGAAAAGCATTGAGTTCTGTTGTATAACGAACTGTGGACACGTATTTACATAAGTACATTAGATTTCCTTTACCACACGTTAAAAAAATATGCAGAAGATTTTTTTTTACAGTGCTCGCTTCAATTATTGTACTTTTAAGATCTCAGAACTTGATGCTGACTTTTATACCTATGCATAAAGTAATATTGCATTACTGAAAAGTAGCAAAGGAGATATTTTTACTAGCATTTTGGTGCCTAGTAAAGAAATATAAAATTTATCAACTTCAGTAATTGTAATAGCCGCGTAGGCTGTGTAGCTACGTAACGGCGCGAGTGAATTTTTCGGTAGTACGAGCGTCACTGCTAACCATCATCATCATAAGCCTATTAATGGCCCCACTGTTAGGGCCTTCCCTATGGATGGAATAGGAAGATTGGGCCATGACCCGCCACGCGGCCCCAGTGCGGATTGGCGGGTGCCAACGACAGCAGGTGCAACCGGGACCTTAAGTCGTTGGTCCCGGCTGCATCTGCTGCATCGTGCCTTCCGAAGCACGGAGTAGCTCGAGATAGAAGATTTTTGGTCACCCATCCAAGAACCGACCATTGCGTAAGTTGCTTAAGTTCAACGATCGCAGCCGAACCACCTGCGCCATCGAGCTAACCACCAAGTGGATCATAATGCTTGTTTGCCACCCCTTTAACATTAAAAAAACATACAACCACCCATGGCTTGATATACTTTGTAAAGCTTGGAGGAAAAGCAGTGATAAGAAAGTTCCAATGCGGAAGTTGGCTGACTTCCACAATCGCAGACCTTGGCACCATCGACCTTAGTGTTCTATACATATTGTTACGTGTCGGGATGGGGTATATATATGCCAGTTCACGCTTGACAGTTCTTTATTCACCACACAGTTCACACAATTAACACACAATGTTAATTACAAAACACTCACTAAACACTGTATTTCACTAAACAAGTCTCTTAACAATCGCACATGAACACTTTTGTTGCACATTGTTCGCCTTTGGATTCGCTTCGAAATCGCTGTTGAAACTCAACTGTCTCTGCGCGGCGCCAATTGCGCTTATATCCGCCGATCGACGAATTCTAGAAAGTACCTGTTAAATTGAGAGATAGCTAGCACTCGCCAGTACGAAGTACCTACTTATACCTACGCAGGTAACGCGCATAACTTGTAAACAAGTGCCGATGTCGTTGCACTGTCTCCCTAACGCCGCACTGCGTAAGGCTCATTTTAGAATGAGCCGCATTACTCGGCCTCTATCGCGAACCGCGGTGCTCTGGCACATTCGATCTCTAGCACTTTCGCGGTTTCGTTTCGAGAGCGTTTGTGACAATATATTGTTTATGTTTTGCAGTAATGTGTCGGAGACGATGGCGATGTCTCAGTCCCGGGACCAGATTCTACCCGAGAAGGGCGCTCATGAGGCTGAGAACGGCAAGGCGGAAGAGGCCGCCGATATAATCCATCCCACTTCGTGAGTATCTTCCCAATGTTCCCACTGCTGGGACACTTCCTTCCTTTATAGACAGTGTTCATGAAGTAATACAATGGGTTTAACGTCCGTTTATGGGTTTCAAACTTACCTATATCTTTATATATATAATTCTTCTGTGAGTGTGTATGTCACTGAACTTCTCTTAAACGACTGGACCGATTTTGATGAAATTTTTTGTGTGTGTTCAAGGGGATCTGAGAATGGTTTAGATTCACAATTTTGTCCGCTGGACAACCCCTATTTTTTAGGGCGGTACGAAGTTCGCTGGGTCAGCTAGTTTATATATAAAATAGTTTTAAGCATTAACTGCTAGATGTTTAAATCTAAAGAAAATGTTACTAGAAAAAATTACACGCGGCTAGGCAGCAGACGGGACTCGAGCCCGCACCCTCCTCTATCCGGGTGGATGCACTGACCAATTATGCTACCGCAGCCTTAATTGCCTTGTTGAATTTCTTCTAGTATTTCTTAGCCTGCAAGGCAGCGCCATCTCTGCGCATTGTAGGCAACCAACAATGTCAAACAAACACATTTACAAATATTAACATTTGAAAGAAGAAATAGCAATTTTAGTTATATTTTTTAAGCATTTAACTGCTAGATGTTTATATGTGTTTTATTTTTGTAATAAAATTGTCTTTAGATTCAAACTTATAATTTTTAAACGAATCAATTTTAAGACCTGAGGTCCTGCGGGGAGGACGAGCAACTCACTGGGATGATAAAGTGTCGCCATTTTTGATGGCATGTTACACGCTTATGTAGTATTGCTACATAAGCTTGGCACAAGCGGGTGCTCCTTTTCGGGCTCTAGCGACGGTACTCTCTGGCTGATGTAGAACTCAGTATTAATCCTTATTATTTGCAGTTACGTGGACACCATGCTGCATATCTTCAAGGGCAACATCGGCAGCGGCCTGCTGGCCATGGGTGACGCTTTCAAGAATGGTGGATTGGTGTTCGCTACCATTAGCACAGTTATTATGGGCATTATCTGCGTCCACGCACAGCATATATTAGTAAGCCACCAAACCAATGGTACCTTTTTTTTAACCCGGAGGAATTCGTTACGCTTACATCGCCGCTATGTAAGGCGACGAGGTTATGTGAAACTCCCCCCTCCACCTCCCGCCCAACTCATTCAGACAAAAATCCAAACTCTTAACCACTTAATACGGGAATGCCCCTGCTACACACACCTAATCTAACCTAACCTAACCTAACCACTTTATATGGGAATGCCCCTGCTACACACGGGTGCGGGCGGAGCAAACCCGCCTCTGCTCATACCATCAAATCAATTTACCCGCGCAAGTGTTCCCAGACTTTATTACATCTTAACATCAGGTAAAAAATATATATACCATAACTGACCTATTGCAAAAGAAATCATGCTTAAATTCATTTATCGATCTATGTAAAACCATTGTAAACACAATCAAAGAATATATTAACAGCTAATAACTCGCACTATAAACTCCATTCCTAAAACTACACTCTATTCAAATTTACCCATCTCTAATCTAACATTATCAAATCTACTAATATAAATAATCAATACAATAGTAACGTATTTTAATTACACAATAAAACGTAACTTATAAAAGTCCCCAATGTTTTCCGTATCAAATAGCGAAAAACAAACATCCATATGCTAAAATGTTAAACCATCTAACTAATCTTCATTCAATAAATGTTCTTTGGTAATTCTCCGGAGAATAACCACAGAAACGCCGCTAATAATTAAAAAACTATCGTTTTTGATACGAATTTCGATATTGGTTATTTTTTATCGATGTATCGATGTATCGATATATCGAATCAAAATATATCGGCAAAAAATATCGATATATCGATACATCGATATATTTTCAACAAGCCTACGCCTTAGTCGGCCGCTGTCGCGCGCTTCAGCCGCTTTAGTAGCCGCTTCTAGCTTCTCGTGGCGGCGTTTGTGGCTGTGGCGTGTGGCCCGTGTGCGGCGACACTAACTCTTACTTCAATTATTTACAATGTTTAGCTGCCAGACTTTAGGACGTTGTGACTGCGACATTCAAAATTTAATAAATTTTGATCCCATTTTTTAGACTCATGTATTAATACATCACATTCGTACAAAAGCGGACAATTCCATTACATGGAAACTCCGCACAAATACCATTATTATTAACACTTCCTTAATAAATCGATCAACAAATATAATTAACTCACAACATGTATATCTACATGGCTGTTATTGAAGGCTTTTGACTATAATTGGGATCGGAATATCAGTTTGCTTACACTTGGAAGTGCCAAATCAAATATTATTGAATGTCAATGGGATATAAGTACGTAATATTCCACTACTCGTTTACCTACACACATTTTGAAATAGTAATATTTTTATTTTTTAAGCATTTAACTGCTAGATGTTTAAATGTAAAGAAATTTTTTCTACAAAAATGCCACGCGGTCTAGGCAGCAGACGGGACTCGAACCCGCACCCTCCGCTATCCGGGCGGATGCACTGACCTTTATATTGTCCGTGTCGAATTTTCTCTAGCATTTCTTAGACTGCAAGGCAGCGCCAACCATTTGCATTGTAGGCTGAGATTGTAGGTAACCCACAATGTCAAAAACGGTTTTCAACCTTTACAAGTATTAGACATTTGAAAGAAGAAATAGCAATTATAGTCATATTTTTATTATTTATGCATATTTCTTTGGATTTAAATATCTAGTAGTTAAATACTGCTAGATATTTAAATCCAAAGAAAAATTTTACTGAAAAAAATCTGGAAAAAATTGAAAAGCGTTAATGAGTTTGTAAATTTTTATGAGCGATATTTTTATGATGAAACATATTTCCGGCGTAGGTACAGCGTTATGGCTGGACTATTATGACTCGTATTTACCTTTGTAGTATTCCACTGAGCGGGTCTTTTGTATTATGATCATTGTTTTTGACAAAGTTGTATAGGCCTTCTTGCAAAGTTCTTAAATCTTTGAAAGCGTACCTCATGTTAAGGCCTCATTCTTTCTCTATTTGACATTAAACAATTGCGAAAGAGGATTAAATAAGATCTCTGGTGCAAGTGCAAGCTCTTATTTTGGGGTTTTAGGACCATTGTCTATATATGTGGGTGAACGCTGAACAGTGATTGATTTCATTAAAAAAAAAGGTAAATTTAAAAAATCAAAGAACCCGACTGTTTAAATATTACTTCAAATAAAAACTGAAAAGAACAAAACAAGTCCAGTAGTCTATAATTCTGTTAAGTAAGGAACAAAGCTACTTTAACAGTCGGGACCCATTAGATATTCAGGTATGGATCAAATTTTTTGAATAATGGGTACCGACTGTTAAAGTAGCTTTGTTCCTTACTTAACAGAATTATAGACTACTGGACTTGTTTTTTTCTTTTCAGTTTTTATTTGAAGTAATATTTAAGCAGTGGGGTTCTTTGATTTTTTAAATTTACCTTTTTTATTTTACACTTTTTAGTTAGGATTATAAGACGGTATATACTGCAGTCTTGTCACTTCAATAAGGGAGTTAATATCAAGAGGATTATTAAGTACCTTGCGATGGTCTAAACGACACCTTACCATCAGGGTCAAGGCCTTGCCTGCAAGGGCCTCAATATTCGCAAAAATGTGTAAAGTTAAATCAATTCCTTATCCGTATATCTAATGAATGTAAATTATATACTTAACTAGTACTTATTTTCCGTATTTATTCAAAAAGTCATCTTCGGCTTATGTTCTTTTCAGTAGTAAATAAAAAATTCATTTACTTTTATTCGTCGACTATCTAAAATTGGCAGTAGCTGTATGCAACTCTAAGATTGTGTTACACAAATGCAGTGCATATCCTTGTCTCATAATTTGTTTTACTTACATAATTCACAGAAGCAAATATGTAGGTGCCAGAGGTTAAATATTATTATCCTAACTTTCTATACTAATAGGTAGGTATTATAAAGAGGCAAGAGTTGTATGTGTGTAACAAGTAACCTCTCAAACCTGATCCGATTTCGAAAATTCAGTCACCATAGGGTAGCTAGCTAATAAGTTGATTAATCTGCTGGATTTATAAAACTAAAGAAACTTTTACTTGAAAAATTCTAACAACTTCTCCGAGAGGTTTTTTTACAATTTTTTTTTCTTTATAACTACATTATATTCGAGTGACATAGGCTTTATTCTATTCCGTTAAAATAAATTTCGCCCATGCAATGTCGGAGCGGATAACTAGTATAATATAATATTATAGATGCGAAAGTGAGTTTGTTTGTTACGATTCCGCTCCCTAATAGCTAAATCGATTATGATGAATTTCCCTGTAGAAATAGATGGGGCCTTGGTTCTAAGCTACATTATCGTAATATCTATAGGGGTAGGGTGATGGGAGGGGTGATTTACCTATAAAACTTTATATTATTTACTTCGAATTTTCGCAGAATTATGTGTAGAATAATATGAAGTAATATCGTTAAAATAAACTTTGAAAACCGTTTCATTCTCAGTTTTTCGTATGATAAAATACCTACCTATTATGATCACTTATTTTTCATCATTTAGTAAGAAGGATTTATTTATTTTTATTTATCACAGTTTTATTGTAAGTACTTCGTATAAAATTAGATACTGTGAGAAGCATTTTTTTTCTTTTCCTCCTAGGTTTTATCTACGTTTATAAAAACCAAAAGTCATCACTTTTCCCACCAATGCCGCAGTATACTCGTACTCCTGCATAGCACAACGCGCGATCACTTTGTCATTGTGTAACATCGTTGTAACTTTTTAAATATTTGTCGAAATTACACAGAGTAAAAGGCAAAGTGTATCTTTAAATATCGAAAGCGATTAAATATCTGTTTTGATAAAAAATAATTTTGTTTTTACAAAATATGCATTTTGAAAATTTATTTCAAATAATACTTACACATTAAAAATAGATATATACTGTCCTGGACTTTTTTGTAGAACTATATAAGAGATACAATTCCACAATACATTATATTCATGTATCTTTTATTGTTTTTGCAGTGCAGACAAAAATGGATCGCAGATGGGAGATTTTTTTCCGTCTCACGTGACACTTATTGTTATATTTTGACCAATTCACCAAATAACAACATTAAATTATAATCTATATGCTATTATTATGTATGAGCTTTATTATTGGTTAGTCTGATTAAAATCCATTTAGTATTTTTTGAGTGAAAGAGTTACAAAGATCCATACAAACCTAAGATTGAAATTAAAAGCGCAAGTGGTTAATATACAACTTTAAATCGTTGTAGATCCTAAACAATCATATAAAATGAAAAATGGTGTAAGGAACCTAAACATGATTTTTGATTATCTAGACAATGATACCCCACTCGACATATATCAGCAACTTATTTTTTTTTCTTTCTCATAATATGGCGCTCAGTTGTCTCCATATTGATTTTTGATTATAATCATATCTTTAGTAGCACTCCCATGATTAAGACGAATCGATTGATGTATAAATCATCAAAATCGGTTCACGCGTTTGGTCTCTAGTGTGCCACAAAGGAACAAACATACATATTGTCTGCGCGTCGCGCTTCGCGCTCTTGCATTGCGCAGTCGGGTAAAAATATAAACAAATATAAAATAAAGTAAATACATATGAGTAAACGTTCTCAAAATACGGGAAATTGAAACCAGTCCAAAAGAGAACTTTTGTTGGTTTCAAATGTTGACAGTTTTAACATCGAGTTAGTGAGCTTTAAATGTATTTTTTGCTATTTTTAACCGATGAAAACATCGGAGGAGGTTCTCAAGTCGACACCTATATTATTTTTATGTATGACCACGCTTTTGGATTTTCTTGGAAAGAGTATATTGCAACAGGGGATTATTGATTGTTCACTCACTAACTGTAATGTATGACTACACATAACTTTTTACAGAATAGTCCGATTTCGATAATTCTTTTTTTATTAGAGAGGATATACCCCCAAGTTGCTACCATATGATTTAAAATAAAACATTCTACCCTAAGGGTATGAAAACAGGGGATGATTGATTGTTCACTCACAGATTTTAATGCAGAGTTGTATATTACAAAAATTATAGCCACAATAAAATCTAAAATAAAAACTTTTTAACAATAAAAATAAATGGCTGAAAATTAAAAAAAAATCAATCTTTTTTATCTTAAGTCAAATTAATATTTGGATCGATGCCATGCAGGTCTGATAGATCTAAGTTCTCATTTACTACTTGGGTTTGCCTGGCAGTGGCATCGATATACATTTGGCTAAAGATAAAGAAGGTTAATATTTTTTTACTTTTCGGCAGTTTATTTTTTTGTTAAAAAGTTATTAATTAAATATTTTTCGGCGTCATACCATTGTTGTCCATCCTTCGAAACGACGAAAGACAATGGAATATCTTGAGGTATCTCTTTCCATTCTAATACATTATCGAGCTTATTGTTAAAAGTAGGACGGATACGCTCCGTATATGTTGCTATTTTTAAATTACTTCTACGTAAATATATATATAATTGTAATTTTTGAGAAGTTTTATTTTTACTCCAGTTAAACTGTGCGGAGGACATGCGAGGGCGCGTGAAGGACGGCAAGGCTATAGGCTTCGCGCAAACGGTGCGCATGGTATTCGAGCAAGGAGGTCCGCGGTTGAAAGCGCGCGCGCGTCTCATGGGCATACTGGTGGACACATTCCTCTGCGTCACGCAGCTCGGCTTTTGCTGCGTCTACATCGTCTTCATCGCCAACAACGTTAAATTGGTAAGTCTCTTATTTGATTTTCGAACAACTTTGCACGCGAGAAGGTCTCGGCTTGTCACCACTGTTATGATATGGATTCAGCTCGATATTATTAACTCTTGACGCCAAGCAAAAACTGCGATTGCAGCGGGATACTGCTCTACTGTGCGTCTGTGATGTCACTAACAACAGAATTTGCCTGAGCGTTATGAAAACATAATACGGTCTCTGGTCTGGGTTCTGCTAGAATGCAGTTGAAATTTTTAATGATATCTTCTAATTCTCGTGTCACGGTGTGCGTAATTGAACTACTCTGAAACGGCTCGATCGAATTTCGTGAAAATTTATATGCATATTCAGTAGGTCCGAGAATCGGACAACATCTATTTTTCATCCCCCTATATGTTAAGGGTGGTCCCTCAAAAATTTTTTTTGGACAAAATGTTTGGTTTTTATTTTTTATGATACCTTATATAAAAAAAAAATACAGCCCCAAATTTTCACCCTTCTACCACCAACACCTATTTTTTATGGCGGTACGAAGTTCGCTGGGACAGCTAGTAAGATACAGAATGCACAATCTTCATAGGTTGAAAGTATTTAACAAAAGTTCACTTATACTTAACATTATACATAGGGCAGTGATGCTGAAAGTTACTTTTCCTCATGTAAAACTAAACAAGTAATTTTCTATGTTCATAAAAAAAACCATTACTAATTTTTAACTTATCCAAGTTAATCGTGCTACTCGTACATAAGCTGGATTGTATAGGCTTCCCCTAATCTCCTCCACAAATATATAATTTTGACCGCGCCTTAAATACTCAATGTTATACCACTCATCAGATCTGCGACCATTACAACGTGCGCATCGACCTTTCCATCCATATGATATTCGTGGTCGTGCCCGTACTGCTGGCCTGCATGGTGCGCAATCTGAAGTTCCTCACGCCTTTCTCCACCATCGCCAACCTGCTCATGGCTGTTGGTGTAGGCGTCGTGGTCTACGAAGCCTGTCAGGACCTTCCGCCCGTCTCCAGCAGGGACTACGTGGGCACCTGGAAAACCCTGCCTTTGTACTTCGGCACTGCTGTCTACGCTTTCGAGGGGATCGGTCTGGTGAGTGTAATTATATTATACTAAGGAATGTTATGCTATAAAAAATTGTCACGTCTCTGCATCGTTTATTCTCATGTAGTTGACAAAATTTTAGATTCTCTTATATCTTCTTCCCATTGACTTGGCAAGATTTGTTACTAGCCTACTCTTTATTAAGAAAAAAATCTAAAGTATGTTTGTCTGTTTTACAAAAAACAGACAATCATAGTTTAATAGACAAAAAAAACCTGACCTGACAAAATACTTTAATATTTTTATTATTAATATGTGGGGATTTTTAATTGGCTTTTAGATATGTTTTTATTTTTTTTGAAGCATTTAACTGCTGGATGTTTAAATCTAAAGAAAAGTTTTACTAGAAAAAATTCGACGCGGCCATCAGGGCCGTGGTAGCATAATTGGTCAGTGCATTCGCCCGGATTGCGAAGGGTGCGGGTTCGAGTCCCGTCCGCTGCCTGGTCCGCGTGGATTTTTTTCTAGTAAAACTTTTCTTTGGCTTTTAGATATTGTATTTAGTTTATTTAATAAGCGATTGATAGCTGTAAACCTTCCTAAAATAAAATAAATTATCTGATGGTTCCTTCTCACAGCATTAAAACAGTCTGCTTTTTATATTATTTGCCTTGCTAATAAACTAGTTTTTGAAATAGAAAGTAGTATCATAAATGTCTAACAGTAGCTGTGAGTGCACCAACCAGAATTTTAAAGGTAATTTTGATTTTGTCTTCCTTCCGACCTAGCGTCACAATAATGTCGCAATACATTTCTCCGTGTAAAAAAAAAACGCCCTACATACCGTATTATGGCCACACACAATTACAAACAGTGAATGGGCCATAACTATAACCCACGACACAGGAATTATCTGATGGCATATCATGTGGAGGAGCTCGATGGCGCAGGTGGTTAGCGCGTTCGGCTGCGATGGTTGAAGTTAAGCAATTTTCGCATTGGATGGAATGGTCATTGAATAACTTCTATCTCGAGTTCCTCCGTGCTTCGGAAGGCACGTTAAGCCGTTGGTCTTGGCTGCATCTGCAGTCGTTAGCACCCGCCAATCCGGCACTGGGCCCGCGTGGCGGGTCATGGCCCAATCTCCCTATTCCATCCATAGGGAAGGCCTGTGCCCCAGCAGTGGGGAGATTAATAGGCTGATGATGATGATGATATCATGTGGTGCATCCCATTCTACATAACATTTGTTATTGAAGTGAAACTTTTAATATGTATTCAAAAAAAATCCGTTCATTTTTACCATGTCGCGTTACATTTTTAATTGTTTTTAAGCTTATCAACAAGCATCGGTTGATTTTCAGCTTCATGTAATTTTGCAAAAATGTTCAGTTAATTGCTTACCCTGACCTGAAACAACTTTGGGCCGATGTAAAACACTTTGAAAGTTACACTTGGATCATGTTTTTTTTTAATAGTATTAATTTTTCATCGAAAAGGTGCGATATAATTTATGTATTCACAGGCTGTTGTTGTCAGGTACTACCGCTGAAAAATGAAATGCGCAATCCGGAGCAGTTCCAGAAGCCGCTGGGCGTGCTGAACGTGAGCATGGTGATCGTGGGCAGCATCTTCATCGTGGTCGGATTCCTGGGCTACCTGCAGTGGGGCAAAGCTGTGCAGGGCAGCCTCACGCTAAACCTCCCGCCCGGCTTGATGTTAGTCTGTCTATATTTAGCTGTTACTTCCAGAATATTTAAAGCATTTTTAAGGGACGCCGATAATGCTATCCTTTTATATTGAAAAAAAAAAAAAAAATTTTTTTTGGTACCAAAAATATTTTGTAACATTAGTGTCCATAATTTAAAGTTATTGAAAAAGAAGGTTAGCCTTTTTAAGGCCTCTTACAAGGTTCAAGTTCAAACAGCCAACAAAGCTGTTTAATTGCGAGCCAGAACAGATGGCTAATGCCACTAAGACTGCATATGTCAACTAATTTTGTATGTTGCCAAACACGGGAACGGCGGTAGTACAAAGGTGCTGAATTATACATCCCGGCAAACTTCTTGAGCATCGACCATGGATAAGAGAGCCTAAGAAGTAGCAATTTTATATAAATAAAAACGTTTACGGCGCATTCAATTCAATTCAAAAACATTTATTCAGTTTAGGCTTTTACAAGCACATTTGAAAGTCAAAAATTACGCCATCGGTTCGCAAAACTACGGTGAGAGACCTTGTACTGAGAAGAACCGACAAGAAACTCAGCAAGGGCTGCTTTTTTCTCCTTGTTTCATTTCATACAGTGTCGTTAAATTCAAAGTTGACATCAAACTTACAAAAATGTGTTGAGGTCAATTTCCATCACATAATGTCAAATAGGTAACAATAGACAATCAACGAATTTACTAACAATAAGTGTAAAGAAAAGTCCCAAAATAGCAAAAAAACAATCTTCAAAACAAATTAAACGAGTATGTATATGAAAGGGAGTAAGTGCCAGGTTCTGTTCAAATCTTTCTAAGGTTTAAATATAACTTTTGTAAAATTATCTACAGGTTAAAATACAATCAGGCTGTTTTATCATACAAATATTGTTTTACAGTATAAAATCCTTTCTTAAGTAAGCAAATCTTAATGTCTATTTGAAATGTTTATTTGTCCGTGGTTTGGCTCAAGAATTTTGCCACTACATATACCTACCTGTGTTGTCTGCAGATTGAGCAACGTGGTGCAGACGCTGATCGCGTTGGCCATAATGTTCACGTACCCGCTGCAGTTCTACGTGCCGGTGCGCATCACGTGGCCGGCGCTGCGGGCGCGGTGCGGGCCCCGCGCCGTCGTCGCCAAGGAGCTCGGGTACCGCGCGTTATTGGTGCTGCTCACCTGTGAGTACTGAGTAACCCAATGCAATCCATACTTATCAGATCAGCCGCGACGGCTTTGAGCCTCGCGCCATCGTCGCCATGGAGCTCGGCTACCGCGCGCTACTGGTGTTGCTCACCTTTGAGTGCTGAATAACCTAATGCAATCCATATTAGATCATATCACCCACAACAGCTTAGAGCACCGCACCATCGTCGCCAAGGAGCTCGGCTACCGCGTGCTACTGGTGCTGCTCACCTGTGAGTACTGAGGAACCTAATGCAATACATATTGATCATATTAGCCACGACGGCTTAGATCCCTGCGCCATCGTCGCCATGGAGCTCGGCTACCGTGTCCTACTGGTGCTGCTCACCTGTGAGTACTGAGGAACCTAATGCAATACATATTGATCATATTAGCCACGATGGCTTAGATCCCTGCGCCATCGTCGCCATGGAGCTCGGCTACCGTGTCCTACTGGTGCTGCTCACCTATGAGTACTGAGGAACCTAATGCAATACATATTGAACATATTAGCCACGACGGCTTAGATCCCTGCGCCATCGTCGCCATGGAGCTCGGCTACCGCGTGCTACTGGTGCTGCTCACCTGTGAGTGCTGAGGAACCTAATGCAATACATATTGAACATATTAGCCACGACGGCTTAGATCCCTGCGCCATCGTCGCCATGGAGCTCGGCTACCGCGCGCTACTGGTGTTGCTCACCTGTGAGTACTGAGGAACCTAATGCAATCCATTCTTATCATATCAGGCACGACGGCTTAGAGCCCCGCGCCATCGTCGCCAAGGAGCTCGGCTGTCGTGTGCGTGAGCAACACCAGAATGTGTTGCACACCTGTGAGTGCTGAATAACCTAATGCAATCCATACTACACTGCGGTTAAATTTAAGTTGAGGTTTAGAGAATCATGCCAGAATTGACACCAGTGACTTAGTTGGTAATTAAACCTACCTACGTACTTTGTTTGTGTTTATGTCTATTTTGCGCATGGTGTGCATATCGTCAAATAAAAAAAATGTACATACATTCATGAACCCTGAATACATTACACTCTTTTTTTGGGCAGTCATGGTAAAACTTTCAAACTTTCTTTTTTAATGCCACTAAAGTTTTCTATTTAATTATAATTTTTATTATTTTTAAAGCATGTAAATATAATTGCTATTTCTTCTTTCAAATGTTTAATACTTGTAAAAGTATTCATTTGACATTGTGGGTTTACCTATAATGCGAAGAGATGGCGCTGCCCTGCAGCTTAAGAATAGCTAGAAAGAATTTCGACGCGGTCCATGAGGGCCGCGGTAGCATAATTGGTCAGTGCATTCGCCCGGATTGCGAAGGGTGCGGGTTCGAGTCCCGTCTGCTGCCTGGTCCGCGTGGAATTTTTTCTAGTTATATTTTCTTTAGATTTTCTATTTAATTTAAAAATGTCTTCCATTTTCGATTCGCAGTCATATTGGCAGAGTCGATACCACAGTTGGGTTTGTTCATTTCCCTGGTGGGTGCAGTGAGCAGCACAGCTCTGGCACTAATGTTCCCGCCCCTAATCGAGCTGGTCATGATATCGCAGAAGCCCAACGGTCCTCACTACTTCACCATATTCAAGGACGTCACGATCATACTCCTGGGCGTCTTCATCTTCATCACAGGAACTTATGAGAGTGTAGCTTCAATCATAAGAGCGTTCCAACAGTAGATGTGACGTCATATAGATTGGGTGATTTGCAAGGCTAAGGTTTACCCTTACCCTTTTTACGGAACAACAAACGCTGACGCCATGTTATTATAACCCCTGATATTTATTGGGGTTGGTAGACCATCGAGCGTGCGGGAAAATGTATAATCCTCTCCCCCATAGCCACATCTCTACGACGTCACAATTTACTTTGGTTCGGTCTGGAGTGGTGATACAGAAAATATATCGAAATGTAGCCAGCCTGATCGTTAATAGACTTTTACTGTCTGCTATGAAGATTTTGCAGATGGCCTTTCTGTAGTCAATATCTTACAGTACAGCAGGCCTATTTTGTATACTCTGACAGCTTGAAAACTATTTATCATTCTTTCCTTTGTCCGAGGTGGTCGAAGATCCGAACCTACATCGACCTGATAATAGAATGAAACATATTTTATCACGAATTTAGTTTATTAGAGAATATATTATAAATGGGTTGCCTAAAAAAATCCTATATTTAATTAACTAGGAAAAAAAAATTAATTAAATGTTGCAATACCAAGATAATAAGAAAATGTTGTCCTTAAAACAGTATAAAATGTGCAGCCCTTGGGTTGTCTATTATTTACTTGGGAGTACCCATTTTTAATATATTTTGTAATTATATACTAAATGTTTCATTCTATTATCAGCTCGGTGAAGGTTGATGTAGGTTCAGATATTCTACTAGGGCATTTGCCGATTACTATTCCGGAAATCAGCGGCCAGAGAAAAGCACTTGCATTTTAAAAAAAAAGAGTTTTCGGAAAGTCTAATGAAAATGACAGGACCGTAAGAATAATCTTATTTGTGACTTAATATTCTGTTTAACTTATTTATTGTACGCTGCGAAAGGTGCAAAATAGACTTGCAATGACGCCGACAACGCCTGTGACGCCGGTTGCGCGTTACATTAAGGTGGATACTTTAGAAAATATTTTAATAGTTACGGGTTCTTATTGACACAGCAATTAAATACACGTGAATGGATAAATGATGTAATTATTTATAAGAAATTATTATTTTTATATTTAGCATTTTTACTTGTGTGATATCCGGTGCTCAATGAGAGGAATGTGATTCAAAACTTTGGTCTGGAAGACCCGCATTGTACTATGAATTCTTGACGTGATTGGCAAAGTGAAAAAAGGATATAGGGCATCCCGCTTCGACATCTGTTATTGGATCGCATCAAAAATTCATAGTTACGACCCCGAACAGTTAAAGTGTTTAACACAATTGTTGCATATGCTCTTATGTTTGTACATTTTAGTTAGAAGACCTGAGATAAAATATTATTACTTCATAGACGAAAGATTTAGTGTCGTTATGGTCGATAATTGAAATGAAAGAAACACAGTGGCGAACACTGTACAACGAACAGAGACTTACTGGAAATGCGAATCTTATATCTAAGTCGCTTATAATTTTTTAAATATTTTTAGGAATTTCCAAAATATTACGCTAGAAAAATAAAAATTTATTTTATTTATAAATGAAGCAATAGTATATATAAAAATACATAATTCGTAAGCTTTTCTGTATCACATAATAATTGAAACATAATGTACGCTAAATTCGTTTATACATTGTTATAGTCAGTAAAAAGCGTCCTAGCCTTGTATTGTATGCAACGATATTAAATTCAGAGCCTTTTGCCATGTTTCAGTAAAAATGTTGTAAGGTTATGTTTTATATAAAACACAATGAATCTCATTTGAATTTGATTTTACCGGTTTTGAATTCAAAACATTATTATAATTACAATATTAATTATTTATTATTCATATTTATAGAAAATGAGTGAGTCCATTTGTGTTAATAATATTATAATCATTTATTTGCTATGTAATGCGATATGTCAGTCTTTTAAGGTTGTAATATTTATTTGTTTTCGATTCCAATTTTTACCGTACCTTTTATTACTATTGTGTGTTTGTTATTTGTTTTCTTCATCTTCTTTGATGAATCTTGTAAAAATACTTATTACAGCAGGCGATATCCATTTCTTCCCAATATTATTTTATTTTTATACAGCTAGCGGCAGTTTTTATTTGGCACTTTTTGAAGGTAGTTGGATAACTTCACATGAATATTAGATAAGTATGAAATTACGTTGGTATATATAAAATGCCATGCTTAGCCGTCCAACGAAGTGCACTGACCATTATATAACTAATATTACAACTTCAAAGCGTAGCTAAGATTTTTATCTTTTTTTCTTTCTTTTGTATGTTCGTTATATAATTTTTCCGCTATTTTTAACCTATGTATTATTTATACATTTTTACTTCGCTACTTATATATTATTATATTCAATTAGGCAGCTCAGTACAGCATTCCTTAATGATATGAGTAAGTATTTATTTTTTGAGTAAAATTTAAGTAAGACTTATCTACTTATAGTTTTTTATTTTGTTTCAACTAAATCATGAAAGCTCAAATAGTTAAGTTCTTTTTTATATTCTGTGGATTGCGGCAGAGGTCATGTCAATAGTAGGGGAGCACAAGCGGGGGTTTTTGGATTTATTCGAAAGCGGCCCAATAACATAACCTTGCATCTTGTGAAGTACTCCCACCATAACTGATGGGAGTACTTCACAAGGTGCAAGGTTGCCCCCATATGTAATTGTACCGCGCTCGAGTTAATAAAAAAATCCCCGCCTGGGCTCCGCTAAAATAACTAAAACGGTGAACTAATTAAGTTCTTGACAAGTTTGGCAGAACTTTTGGATAATTTTCATCGACTATCAGATGCAGCTTTTATTATTAGCTTACCTTCAGAATCTTTCATGATCCCAGATAGCATTTAAAACTGTATATGGACATTTTTAAAGGCTTTAGGCTGTTTAACTTTGCTGTATTTGGGCTGTATAGCCGGATATTCATTCGTTGTAACCCCCCAAATGGGCTCTAAATTATACATCTTTAAGTATAGATTTAACTGTCTTACAGCTGTGTAATAGCTGTACAAACCGAAGCAGTAGCTTAGAAGACTTAAAGCTTAATTAGATACCATTATACAGGTACTGTCCTCCAATTTTGCGCGTTTAATTGTTATATACAGGCTCAGGCTTCTAAAGATGAATATGAGAATTATAAAATTTGTGTTCGTGGTTGAAACCATTTTTTTTTCAAAGATTAATCTCCTGTGACACCGGCTGCACTTTTGGAAAATCTTACTGTAAACACGTCAGCTTTAGAATAGGTTAACACTAAACTTTTATGCAGCAGACGGAAATATATTACACTTTTGTTTGTTTTCTACGGGTGCCTAGATAACCACTGAACAGCTATTATTCAGCCTAATTCGACGTCTTTACAATATAGTTATTTTACACCAATATCCAGTTGAAGCAATATTCAACGTTCTTGTACAGAATAAGACAACGCAGAAGTATAATCTAAGAGCAGTGTTCAGTCTTTATACTGCTTTAGTCTTTTAAACTTGCTTATGGCGATTTTTTACACTATACACTGTATTTAAGTGCTTTTATTGCTATTTTAGTCAAAAGTGATAATTACTCTCTAGTACAGCCTTAAATATATATTTAAGTTCGTACTTTATAAAGCTTCTAGCTAAAGAAAAGTTTACTAGAAAAAAATCCACGCGGACCAGGCAGCGGACGGGACTCGAACCCGCATCCTTCGCAATCCGGGCGAATGCACTGACCACAGATTGCGCACGGATTGCGAAGAATGCGGGTTCGAGTCCCGTCCGCTGCCTGGTCCGCGTGGATTTTTTTCTAGTAAACTTTTCTTTAGATTTAAACATCTAGCAGTTAAATGCTTAAAAATAAATAAAATCATAAGCTTCTAGCTGTTAATAAAATGCACAAAGGTTTCTTTACGGCCTAAACGTTTATCGGGATTTTACATCACCATATCATAAGAGAGAAATTTCACTATACATTCCAAACCGCTATTTGTGGTTGCACCATAATTACAAATTTGTAAATGACCTAAATGGCTTTTTAAGGAATATTAAATACATTCTATACTGTTCTTTAAAAAAAGCGAATAAAAAGGTACAATGTTTTATCAAGTTAGGTATCTGCTGGTGATAAATACTTAATATATAAATAATCCGTGACTGGCTTATTTTTTTTTAAATGCTAATATTAACATATTTTTTCCATTTGTGTTTAATTGTGTTGGAAATATAGATTTGTATTCCGAAGGTAAATGTCAGGGTTATATAAAAATTTTCGATATTTTTTTTCGCAAACCATGAAATTATTTTAGCTACTCTTTTTTTTTAATTTGTTTTAATGTTGTTTACTTTAAATGTAGATAGATGGTTTTCCTTTTAAATATAGATTTCAATATTTTCTTGTTGAATTTTTTTCTTTTGTTATGTAAATTATTATTGTGTTGTTCTAATGACTAGCCTTTTTATGCCTACAGCCTGAATTTAGATAGAGTTAAATCTAAATTCAGTTTTTAAATCGCTTAGCTTCTTCTCCTTTGTTGCTACCTATCCATCGAGAATAAAAAATATATTATGAAATTGGTATGATATTTTTCACAATTACTTGTGAATAAGCGAACCACTTGCCTTACCTTTTAAACTTCAAGTATGTACTTAAAATTGTGTAATTCTTATTTCCGCTGAAAAAAAAATAACGTAAATATCAAACATTGATTTTATTTAATAAAAGTTGTTTTATTATGGCTACAGATATGGCTATTCAATAATTAAATAATCGTTTTTAACAGTGACTCCCAAAGTGGTTGTGGTGGATCCCCTTGGGTAACAGCTGTCTCAAATTTTCCATATAGCAGCAGTAGTTCGGTTGTTATAGTCCAGTACACCGAACTACTGAAACTTTTCAATTGCGATCGTTTGGTTGAAGACGTCACTCCACAGAAAAGGTTAGAAGGGTTATCATAAACTGTTTGTACGGGCACCTATGTCGCCGGCTCGTCCCCACTACACTTCCACCACGGTAATAATATCATACAATATTCTATCTTCATACAAACGGTCGGAAAGCGAATCATACCTACGCCACTCGAGTTCGATGTGCTCTCGGCGTGCACCCAGTCGCGAATGCGCCGCCGCGCCGCAACGACGACCGCACGGTCTGAATTGTTTTTTATGCAGTTAGCCGTGCTTAAACATGCGTTTTGTATTGTAAATATTTGATTTAATTAAGTAGATACCTACATAATTTAGTATGGAAAAGAACAAATGACGATCAGTATCATACAACAGCACAATTGCTGTTTTTGGTTGCTTGAACTCTTCAATAACACACCCAGAGATATCATTTTTTAAATTACCTGAAATATTGGAAAGGTGTCTTACCTTTATAGAATATTTTTTATATACCTATCTACTAGTACGTTATTTGTTTCTAATATTTAGGTATTTCGGTTTTTCCATCGGGCAAAATATCTGGAATAATATATAAATAAGTGGTTAGGATGAAAAAAGAGACAAACGAGTAATCTACCTACACTCGCGTTAAAAACAAAACTACATAAAATACTGTAAGCTGGCGGCCCTACCGCGTGCCAGCGCAGCGTTCGGTGTAGGCATTTATTTTGAAGGACAGGGCGGAGTCACAATACTGTATAGATAATATTACCGTGCTTTCACCCTATTAGA